CAGAACTCCCAAAGAAATCTAAGCTAAGAGAAAGGCCAGTGCAAAGACCCTGAGGCAACCATATACTTTTACTGCCTTTGAGGAACAGAAAGGAAGCCCCTGTGGCGGGAGTACAGTCAACAAAAGGGAGGAGGCAAAATCAGCCAAGTAGCCAGGACAGGTCATCTAGGAGAACACTGTGGCCATCTAAGGACTTGACTTTTTCTTTGAGTAAGAAGGGGAGAATTTTGAGAAGGGACATTATGTGACTGACTTATGTTTTAAAAGCAACACTCTGGCTGGGCTCAGTGGCCCATGCCTTGTAATCCCAGCAGCTCTGGAGGCTAAAATAGGAGGATCTCGAGTTCAAAGCCAGTCTCAGCAAAAAGTGAGGTGCTAAGCAACTCAGAGAAACCCTGTCTCTAAATAAAATGCAAAATAGGGCTGGGGATGTGGCTCAGTGGCTGAGTGCCCCTGAGTTCGTTCAGTCCCCTGTACCCCCACCAAAAAAAGGGCTGAGGATGCATCTCAATTCCTGGTACACACACACACAAAAAAGGAGCACTCTGAAGAGAGCAATGTGGAAAACAGACTTGGGAGTTGGGAGATAGATGTAGGGACTGAAGATAGAGACGGGACACCAGACAGGGGCTACTGCAATGAAGTGCGCCAGGATCAGTAGATCAAGACAGAGAGAAGGTAAGGAGAACTGGTCAGTGTGTATGTGTTGAAGGTAGACTGGCAGGATTTGGGATTTGCCAATGGATGGGAGGGGGTAAGGGCGGGTGTGTGTGAGAGAAAGAGAAAGAGAAGGGGCGAGGGGAGAAATTGGAGCTAAACTTGTCCCACATGAACAAGAATTTCTGTTGATTTTCTCTACCACTGAACTACATACATCTCAACTTGAAAAGTTTTAATAAGGGAAAGCAAGCATATTTTAAACAAAATATTTTTCCTCTCTCATCCTTAAGAATGAAATGGAAGATAACACCATTCAACTTTATCTTAATGATCATGTTGTAACAGGGATTCACTTGATGCTTTGACCATATATCCCTTGTGGCTTTGAAACTTAACAGGTTTTTTTCCCTTTTCCCCAACTGTCTTCTCCCTATATTCTTTTTCTAACCTTCTCCTCCCTGATATATTTTCCCTGATCTTCTCCTTCCTCATCTCTCTTCCCTAATCTCAGTTTCTCTGAATCATCTCTTTAAATACCCTCCCCTGTTCCTGCTGATGGGCAGAACCACAGCCTTTGGGACAGGAGGCCCCTGTGTTTTTCCTTTGCTAGCAAAGCAAAAAAAAACATTCTTTTTCCTTTTTCTCAAACCCGTGTCCTCCTTATTGGATTGGCATCAGGGATAAGGACTGAGCTTTGGGCAACAATAGCTCCATCTGACAAATTACAACAATTCTTCCACCTTCCCTTTGGAGCCCCTTGCTTCCCCACCCACCTGTGAGAGCTCACTCTGCCCTTTCCTGTGGCCAGCGTGGCCAACGTGGCTGCTTTCTCTGAGCTTCCTCCTCCCGTGTTTGTTCTCGGAGCCTGATTTTCATCTGGAGAGCTGCTTTCCTGTAAACCCACTCTGGACCCGAGAGGTTGTTTTTTTCTGAGGTCCACAATTCAGCTAGGTCTCGTAGTGGACAGACGACCCTAGAATGCCAGGCCACAGGAACCCAGAGGCAAACTAAAACCTGTCCTTGGATCTGGGACAGTCCATGGCCTCCCTGGAGGCACTAGGGTTCTGGTTCATCCGCCCTGAATCCTTGGCTCTTGGGAGACAGGAAAGGAGCTATTTGTGTAAGACTCAGGCCCTGGAAGGTATCCCAAGCTCTTTGGCACTAGGTGCCCCATTTGGAGGCCTAATAGAAAGCTTTGGAAGTGGTGGGGAAAGTCTTTTCTTATACTTCTCTATAAACATTTTTCAGTATCCTGAATTTTGGGGGTTTTATGTCATTAAACATTCTTCAGAAATGTGCATTTGTGTGTGTGTGTGTGTGTGTGTGTGTGTGTGTGTGTGTATGTTAATGTAGATTAAACTCAGGGGCACTTTTACCACTAGGACACATTTCCCAATCCTTTTTATTTTTATTTATTTATTTTTTTTGAGACAGGTCCTTGCTAAATTGCTGAGGCTGGCCTGAAACTGGAGATCCTCCTGCCTCAGCCTCATAATTTGTTAGGATTACAGGCATAGGTCACTGTGCCTGACTTTTACTAGTATATTGAAAACCATCTGGTAATTTATTTAAAAGGAATAGTTAAAAATTGACCTCCAAATTTTGAGTCAGCAACTAAGAAAAAGAGTCCTTAGGCGGGGCACGGTGGCACATGCCAGTAATCCCCCTGCCTCAGGAGGCTAAGGCAGGAGGCTGAGGAAGGAGGATCGAAAGTTCAAAGCCAGCCTCAGCAATGGTGAGGTGTTAAGCAACTCAGTGAGATCCTGTCTCTAAATAAAATACAAAATAGGGCTGGGGATTGGCTCGGAGGTTGAATGTCCCTGAGTTCAATCTCCTATAAGTACCCTCCCCAGTGCCAAAAAAAAAAAAAATCCTTACATTTTCTATACTTTTCCCAACTTTTTTTTTTTTTTTTTTTTTTAAATTCTGTTTGGAAAGGAAATCATTCTTCCCACATCTGGGTTTTTTGTTTTTTTGGTTTTTTTTGGTATCAGGATTGAACTCAGGGTCACTCAAACACTGAGCCACATCCTTAGCCCTATTTTGTATTTTTATTTAGAGACACTGAGTTGCTTAGCACCTCTTTGTTGCTAAGGGTAGCTTTGAACTCACAATCTTCCTATCTCAGCCTTCCGAGCTGCTGAGATTACAGGCCTGCACCACCATGTCCTGCTTGGGTAATATTTTTCTTAATTTTTAGTATTATTATTTACATCTGTAAATAGCTTTAGTGTTCACAAAGCACTTTCTCATAAATATTGTCTTACCTAATCACATAAGCACACCATGAACTAGGTTACCATTTCCATTTTACATTTAAGGAAACTGAGGTTTAAAAGGCAAAGTGAGGGGCTGGGGATGTGGCTCAAGCGGTAGCGTGCTTGCCTGGCATGCGTGCGGCCCAGGTTCAATCCTCAGCACCACATACAGACAAAGATGTTGTGTCTGCCGAAAACTAAAAAATAAATATTAAAATTCTCTCTCTCTCCCTCTCCCTCTCTCTCTTTCTTTAAAAATAAATAAATAAATAAATAAATAAATAAAAAAGGCAAAGTGACATATACAAGGTAATATAACTATTTAGTGTCACAGCCATACATGGGCTCAGGTCTTGGGACTCTCCAAACCATATCTTCTCCCATATGTAAATTACCAAGCCAAAAGCAGTTCAGACATAAAAGCAGAACAGACATAAAAGTTAATGACATTAGTGAACTACAGATAAAGTGCTAAGGACAGTGGCTTTGCAAGGACAGAGCAATTCTTCCTACCAGAGGACATGCAGGAGGCTTTGGGGAGACACAAAGGATGAACAGGATCTGGATGTTCAGAATAAGAAGGGAGCACACCCCTGTAATCCCAGCATCTTGGGAGGTGAGGCAGGAGGATTTAGTTCAAAGCCAGCCTCAGTAATTTAGTGAGGCCCTAAGCAACTCAGCAAGACCTTGTCTCTAAATAAAATAATAATAAGGGTTGGGGATGTGGCCCAGTGATTAAGCACCCCTGGGTTCAATCTCCAGTACCAAAAAAGGGGAGCAATGATTGGGCTGGAGATGTGGCTCAGTGGTGAAATGGCTTGCCTCACATGCATGAAGCTCTGGGTTCTATGTTCAGTACCACAAAAACAAACAGTAAGAAACAGAAGAAGGGCTTTCCAGAGGTGCTGTGAGCGGGAAAGTGAAGTGTGGCTGACTGGGGAAAGGGTCTTACAGGGAGCAAGATGGGGCATGACCAGGGAGGAATGGAATTGTAATTACATCCTTAGCTACAGCCACCTGAGCCTTGGAGGTCATCTGGTAAGGAAACTAGAGAAGTGAACAATTTGCTGACTGCAGTACCAGGCAAGGAAAAGGCAGGGTCCAGGTTCTAACCCTGGCCTCCCATCACTCAGGCCAGTGCTTCTTTCATGCAATAAACCTTTTAGATCTTCTGAAATGAAAGAGCCGTTTCCTAGGAACAGGATTTGCTACAAAGTACGAATCAACCCCCAGTGGCAGGATGAGGGATCAATAATGAAATCTTGGTTGGGGGCAGTCAGGAAGCTACTGCAGTGACCTGGCAGGGTGACAAATGAGGCCCAAAGAAGGTGGAGTCAAAGGAATAAGGAAGAGAGACTGGAACAACAGATATGATAAAGGTCAGAAAGGTCACACTGTTGGGACCCAGCAAGTTGATAAGATACAGAACCTGCTGGAAGAAACTAGAGATGAGTGCCATCCCTTAGAGCCAAGGAGCTGCAGTGGTGTGAGGACTGCAGAAGAGAATGGTTAAGAAGCTGGTGAGGAGCCAGAGGGAGCAGGTAGCCTTCCAAGAAGTTCTGCTGCATTGCAGGGCAGTCTGTACCTTTCATGCTACTGTGGTGAATATAAATTCAGAGCTATAATTTTTTCCAGAAAAATACACAAGAAAGTGGCATCAGTGGTGGCCTTGAGGGAGGAAAGTGAGCGGTTAGCAGACAGGGCTCTGCTGCCTGAGTGTGTGTGGAGGTGACAGGGCGCAGGTTGGGGAATGGGGATTGAATCCAGGGTATTCTACCACTGTGCTACATCCCCAGCCCTTTTCATTTTTGAGACAGGGCCCCGCTAAGATGACCAGGCTTTGCCGCCTCCCCTCGTGATCCTCCTGCCTCAGCCTCCCAGGTCTCTAGGATTATATGCCATGGCACCACCTCCTCTGGCTTGTCTGTCTTTGTTTCTATTATCCTTTGAATTGTGAGCAGTGAGCATGTAATAACAAACTAATGAGGAAAAGTTGTCCAAATTATATAGAAAATGGAAGGAAAGAAAGAGGACAATAACACTGGGCAGACCAGGTTCTTTTTTTTCCCCCTTGGACTGGGGAGACTGGGCAACTCTGGAAAATGAAATTGAAAATGTGGGGGGAAGGGTTAAGTGAACAGAGACTGGGCAGGAGAACAGCAGGGAGCGCAGGGCTCCAAAACCGGGTAGTGTCGTCAGGGAGAAGGCCTTCTTCATGGCAGGGCGCAAATGGCGAGGAGGAGGCCAGGAAGATTCAGAGCCACTGCTGGTGGGCGCCATCTCGGAAAGGCAGCAGCGACACAAGGTCACTTCCACTAGGCCGGCTGGCAGGACGCTCCCGGGGTTGGAGAGTTGTTGTCAAACTCAACTGGGGAGAAACGGCGGATTGTTCCAGCTGTGGGTGGCGCGCATTCATCGCATCGCAGTTTCTGGTGCCAAAACACAGGGAACAAAAGAATTATTAAATGCACAGAGGTGCCTTCGCGCGCTGGATTCGTGTCAGAAGAGCGAATAAACTGGGATTGGGGGGTTTCCACGTTGTACTGGGGAGACTCGCCTACTTGATGGTGCTATTTTAGAAAACAAAAGCAAACGCTGCGTGCGGGTGCGGGTCGTTGTACGTGGATACGAGAGCAATGGCGGGAGTATATACTCCTGCTAGTCCAAATCGGGATGGTGGAACGTGAGACAGAGGCAGGGGAAGAAATCCTAACTACTCAGAGGGTAAACGGGGCAAATGCAAAACTGCCTCGTCACCCCGCCCCGGGGCCCCAAGGCTCGGCGACACGGCGGCGGGGAAGGGGCACCAGGCGGCCCAGAAGTCCTCCCCGCACCTCGTCACTGCGGGTGACCTCCGGGCGTGGGGCGCTAGCGCCCGCAGAGCTGTGCGGAAAGGGGCGTCTCTCAGCCCTTTGTTAGGTGAAGATGGTGAGGGAGGGGATGCGCGGCGCGGGGACCGGTGGGCGTGCGCGTCGCCGCCGGGGACAAAGGCGCCTGCGCGGCGGGAGCGCGGGGCGGCGCGCGCGACCCCATAGCTCCCTGGCGCCCACGCACCCGCGCGGCCGCCCACTCCCTTCTCTTCCAGGCAGCCATTTGCTCCCCAGTATTCTTATTCTTTTTTTTTTTTCCCCTTTCCCCTCCCCGCCGCCCCCAGTCACTTTTGCTCTACTTTCTGTCTCTAGGAATTTGCCTATCTAGATTTTTCTATGTAAGTGGGATCATGCAATATTTGCCCTTTTGTGTCAGGCTTGTTTTGCTTAGTTGAATGTTTTCAAGGTTCATCCATGTGGTAGCATATATGAGAATGCATTCCTTTTTAAAAAATTTTTTATTCTGATGAAATGTACATAAGAAAATTTACCATTTTAACCCCCATTTCCTGACCTCCACCGTCACCCCCTTTTGCCTTGTTGGAATGGAATCCAGGACCTTGAACAGGCTGGACAAGAGCTCTGCCAGTCAGCTACACTCCCAGCCCCCCTGGGGTGATTTCTATTCATGTAGAAACAGGCAAAAAGCAACTGGAGGTTGAACTTTAAAATTTAAACGGAACCAACAGTACGATATTACTGAGGGAGAGAAGATTCATATCACCTACAAAGACCATCTTCATCCAACTAAAAGATAGCAGGGTAATAAAGTGGTTAGAACTGAGCTGTCAGGATATGTGAATCATATTTAAATTTTCTGGTAGCAACATTCAAAACATAAAACAAGACAATAAAACATTTTACTGAACTTGTGTATCAAAAATATTGAGAGCTGGAAGTGTTGGCCTATGCCTGTAATCCTAGCCAGCCACTCGGGAGACTGAGGTAGGAGGATAACGGGTTCAAAGCCAGTCTGAGTAATTTAGCACAACTGTCTAAAAAATAATATAAACCTGGCTCTATGGCGTGCATTTGTAAACCAAGTTACTCTGGAGGCTGAGGCAAATGGATTGTAAATTCAAAGCCTGCCTAAGCAATTTAGGGAGGCCCTGTCTCAAAATAAAAAAATAAAAAGGGCTGGGGATGTTACTTGGTGGTTAAACACTCATGGGTTTAATCCTTGTTACCAAAGAAATAAAAGTAAAATGAACTGGGCTGGGGATGTAGCTCAGAGGTAGAATGCCCCAAATTCAATCCCCAGTAGCTCCTCCCCCATTATCATTTCAAAATGTCATTAATTTAAAAAATAAAAATGAAGGGGAATAGCATGGATGGTGAAAGGAGATCCTCAGCATTATACAAAATACATGTATGAAGATGTAAAAATAAATAAATAAATAAAACAAATATTTGAAATTATTAAAAAAATTAAAAAATAATAATGAGCCCTATAACCCTAGCTACTCAGAAAACTGAGGCTGGAGATTAGTTTTTTTTTTTTTTTAGTTTTAGATGGACAAAATACCTTTGTTTTATTATTTCTTTCTTTTTTTTTTTATATTTAGTTTTTTTTTTTTTTTTAAAGAGAGAGTGAGAGAGGAGAGAGAGAGAATTTTTAATATTTATTTTTTAGTTCTCGGCGGACA